AGGCTGCACATACAGTTTGAGGGATCTGCCTACAGGTGGGAAGAGAGCCGGGGGGGGCAGAGGTTATGGATGGCAGAATGACACTCTCAGTGTTCATGACAGGGACACCGGCATAGCTCTGCGCAAGCGTCAATGTTTCCTCACCCATACAGATATTTCCTGGTACCTTAATGTCTAACAACTTGCTGCCCCCATAAGCGTGGGGCTGTGAAGTCAATTATCCTGTTTCTAAGGCTGACCAAACTCCGAATGAGGTATAAAAAGCTATAGCATAGGTGTTGCGATGTGATGCAAGGAAGAGGTCTTTGAAGACCCAAAATTGTGGCTGTTGCTGGTTATTGGTGTTGATGTAGCCTCTGTTCTGACTCTGAGCAGCCTAAGGAAGGATGATGCTAAGTACATGCATCTTGTAATTGTTGCCAACCAGCTGGACAACAGGTGACTCTTATTCTTACATATAAGATTAGGTATTAGGAAAAATTTATTTACTGAGAAAGTGGTCAAGCAATTGGAACAGACTGCCAAGGGAGGTGGTGGAGTCACCATCACTGGAAGTCCTCAAAAAACATGTAGACATGGCACTTCAGGATATGGTTTAGTGGGCATGGTGGTGTTGGGTTGATGGTTGGACTTGATGATCCTAAAGGTCTTTTCCAACCTTAATGATTCTGTGACATTATTCTTTAAAACAAAACTAAATCAAACCATAATCCTTTAAAAAAAATTCCTAGGTTTAATTCTTTAGAGGCTGTTTGTCACATACACTGCTAGAACAGTCACGGTGCTGAGGGGATTAGATCTGGTACAGTTGAGAAGTTTCAGTGACGTTTTGTTTGGAACAAATAACTTGTGGCTGGAAATCTTCACTAGAAGAACAATGGTTCAGAATCAGGGATTCTGATTTTTCAGACCTGCAGCAAAGAGCATCTGTCATGATTTAAAAACTCAGATATGTTTCCTGTGTAAGTACCTTGCTGTTTCTGTTTAGACAGTCAAGTAAACTTAAGAAAAGCTGATTGTGCTCCTGTTGTGAATGTTTAGGTGATGGATTTTGTGAGTAGAGGGCATCTGCACATAATGCAAATGCATTTGGGTCTTTTTCTCCTCTGATAAGCAGTGAATTTTGATTGCTTATTAATGCAAAACCTTCAAATTTTTGTCTCAAGCTACCAACTAATGATCTTGTGGGGGTTTTTAATTGTTCGTATCAAGGACAAGTGCATATGTAAGCTACAGAAGAACAGCGTTGTTAGCGTGAATATACCTCACAGACACCCTTCTGTGCTTGATTACAACCACGCTTTCCGATTCCTCATGGGGGACAGCCAAACAGGCTTCTGCATACTGAACGCTCAGGCTATTTTTCCTAGGCATTTGCTAGACTGCTAATTGGAGCTACACCAGATTTCTGCTGATCCCTGCCTGTGCTTCATCTATTTGACTTCTAATGAGTTTGTGGTCTACCTGGAAATCTTGCAGACAACTTGGAGGGGGCAGGGGGAAGCAATCTGCATCAGTTATTTTCTCCTTCATTAGATAAATGTCTTGCACATAGAAAACTGATAATGTATATTTACCTAAGATTTGTGGTGTTTAAACTGATGCAAGGGCAGCTACTGTAAATGCTGAAGAAAGTGAGCTCAGATTTTGCCGTTTGTTTTATTTTATATTGAGGTATCTGGGGGGGATGGAGGGTGTTCACTGAAGCTAGCATAAAACATGGTGTGAGTCAAGAAAATTAAGCCAGTTTATAGCTGTCTAAGAAGCTAAAATAACCTGAGGAACAAATTCACTTCAGGGTGATATTACAAAGATTCAAATGGATTTGGAGAAATGCACCTAAAATCCTTTAAGGGGAGATGACATGCATTGTACCTGTACAGTCAAACAAAGCAAGGAATCCATCAGTGACTCGCAGAGAGATGAATTATGTCTCTGCATTGTACCACATCACTACCAGGGCAAGGTTATGAATAAACTTTACATACCATGAAATATAGGATGCCTTCCCCCCACCCCCTTCTGATAACCTGAGAAGGCAGGCACCTAGTATATACTAATGAATATGCAAATTGCCTTCCTAATGAGGTGAGTGCCTTGTCCCCCAGAGAACAGGTTATGACTAAGCACATGCATGTAGTCCTTTGGGGTTCTGTACCTCCTGCAGCCATGTCCCTGTCTCTTGCCACCATATACATTGCTCCCCCCGCAAGGGGTTTGCAGGCAGAATACTGAAATCAACAAACCAGAATTACAACATTTCAGAGCTTTTGGGCAGATTGCCTTTAACACAGATGAACTCTGTGGGCTGAGCCCAGTTCCTCACTGAGCCGAGGGTACCAGGGCAGGTTTTGGAAGCCACCCTCGGAGTCCCTTGGGGCTACTTCCCAGGACAGCCTGGATGTACATCCTCAGAGCTAACTCCTTGCTCTGAGCCATTGTCAAATTTAATATCTTTCCAAATTATTCTGCGTCTAGCTTGACAATGTGTCTTGCAGTCACTTACTGCCAAGTCTCAGCCTCATGCTCTAAGTCAAAATAAGCACTAGTTAAACACAGAGCAGGAAATAGAAGATGAGATTTGAAGAACCTGGGATTGCAGGTGTAAAACAATAATGCTGTGAGCATGAGAGCTGAAGAAGCACAACTTCCTATGGATTTGTTTCTTTTTGTTGCTTACAGGATCCGAGAATTTACTAATACTGATTTAGGTCTTTCTCCTTGTGAGGCTTGAAGAAAGTCTCTCCACTGTGGATCCTTTGGTGTTGGAAAAAGATAAGCATTGCACTTAAGCTATTTTCCCCAGCTAAGATATGCTTAAGGTCTGTCATCTTCACCTCACCAACTATTTTCATAACATTTGTAAGAATGTACCTTGGAGAGAGTTTTCCCTCAGTCAAATTTGATCAAAAGTAGAGTTATAAAGAGCATATACATGTGCATGTGCAGAGAATGATGATTTAATAAGCCTTGTGTCCTTAGGAAATCAGGCTAACATAAAGCAACTGTCGTGTCTGTGAATAAACAGAACAGTGCTATTGCTGCTGAGACTTTTCCCACTTGAAGAAGTACAGTCAGGATCTAGTTGGCACAGCTGGTTTAGCTGTTCAGCTGCTAAGCGGGGATGCGGTGTCAGTGAATATGAGTGATGGATTTATCAATGGCAGGAAAAGAAATGGTCACTCAGGCTGCACGGTGTACTCCACCTTGTTCTGGTACTTCTTGTCAGGAGGGAACAGGAGGACTCTCTCTCAGTCAGTGTGCAGTGCCTTGCTGTGATCAGCCAATGGACTACCCCGTCTTGAAATAAATGCACAAGTTTCAAGGACAAATCTCTTCTTTTTCCAGAGGATTGTTGGAGAAACAGCAAGATTCCTGCCGCATCACCTCTCCACTGCGAC